TGTGGAATGAGCAGCATGTTTTAGGTACTTGAATTGAAAGGCATTCATCTTCTGCCCCAAAAACACATGCTTTGAAACATGTCAAGCTAGCAACTACAGACCCGTGGGACTTTTGTTATGTCACAGCAGAGCATTAGCATTATTTTATTAATTTTTTCTATTTCATTTAGCTAATGAACAGGAAAAGCAAATGTATTTATGACCCACATTGAACAGTAGGGAGGATTGTTAGCCCCATCTGCTCCTTAGATAATTGGCACAGTTACCTTCATGTTTATGATGATTGTGTTTGAAAGAGACTTGGTAATTGTTGTGCTTTGATAACTTGTTAATTTTTAGGTTCATTTGGTGCAAACTTGTATTGGTATTAATACTCAGTCTGTACGTTGCAGTGTTTTAAGATTTCTTTTAGGCCAAGTGTTAAGAAAATGCAAATTCCATTTCCTTCAGTTTTCAATTATTTAAATGCCATCAGTGGTTGTGCATTCAGATACTAATTCATGGGAGAATACTGGCTATTGGCAACTATATTTGCTTAAACTAGCTTCTCATTTTCTACAAAACCAACTGAGCCACTTAGATGCAAAAGAAAAAAAATGGTTAATGAATACAGACAGTATGAGAGGATTGTAGTAAAATGCCTTTTGGTAAGCTGTACCCTTGCCTCACTAGTGTAGAATTTTTATCATGTACCTTTTAGTGCCTCACCTCTTCACTTACCCGTGTATTTATTCTTTAAAACTTCATTGAGAGTGGCTTCAATCAGTTGCTTTTTATCTTCTTTTAAAAACAGTCTGCTCCCAAGATATGTCCTCTCCCAAAAGTGTTCCACTAATTTTACACCTGCTCAAAGCCTGGGGCATACAATATTCACTTCTCTGTGGTGGATTGTCTGTGCCTAAAAACATCACTTTTTAAAACACTTTTTAGCTCTGAACAGCTAGAAGTGGGAGCTTTAAGAACTTGGGAAGCTAAGATTCTTAGCTTCTCTAAGGAAGATTTAGGATTGACAGCTAGCCTTTGAAGGGCCATGGATGCTACAATACAAAAATAACATTTTCTATGTCCAAATCGTAGTACAGCCCTTTTCACTGGTTGTTTTGACTTTCTTTGAACTATTTATGTTGGATTGTAGATTGTTGTTATATACCATAATTATGTAATTATGATTACATTGTATTATAAATATCATTAGAGATGATAGGACAACAGTTTTTATCTGAATTTTTTTTAAACCAAGAGTTTCAATTGCATTTTTTTCAAAGGTCTCTCATACCTTTCTACATTGTTTCCTGTCATTTATTTAAATGGAATATATTTCATAAAATATTTCATTAAAATAAATAATGCAGCATATATAAATATCTGGTAGAGCAGGTGAGATGTTTTATTGGAACTGATTAGATTAGAAATGACCTGTGTATACCTTACTCTGCTGTTTTTGATTGCTGTATACTCCTTATGAAATGTTCCTATGAAATACTTCTCAGCTAATTCAACATATAACGCAAGCCTGGTTCGTTTTATATAATTTAATGTACCTACAATACAATAAATTCATAAGAGCTTTGATTTTTATATATAAATGTTGCAATGAGACAGTGGAAGCCTATATTTTTTTACTTCAGTAGTTAATACTATGACTCCTTAGGCAAAATGGGTGAACAGCCAAGGTGACAGGTTGTAAATATTCCTCAGTTTTACACAGTACAAAGATTGAAATGGTTCAGAATCTTAAATCAGAATAGCTTTGAATTGGTCTTAAAGCATGAATGTTTTAATATGCTGATTGAGACCTTCAGAATGTATATTGTTCCAAATCTCAAAGTTTGGTTTCTTTTTAGCCACAGTGTGGAGAATCTCCTCCAATTATCATTAAGGTAAAAATGATAGTGTGGAGATGTTTTGGGGTTTGTTTTTTTTTCTTTTTTCCCAAAATACCAAAGCATTGAGGAACTGTTTTGAATAGGTAGTATCCCAGTATTTTCCTGTTTCCCATTATCTCATTTTCCCAATAGTGAAAGAGCAAGCCCAAATGCAGAAATAAATGTTTGAATCTATTTTGGCTACAAGGTCAGGGTAGGGAGGGGAGGGGGCTAGCAGAGGACACATAGCAGTCAAGGGAACCTTTTTATCAGGTTGAGGCTTAATGTAGAAAACTTAAGATACAAAGGCATATATGTTCAAACTCTTGAGCATCTGTAAAGTCTGACATAGCTTCAATATTTATTACCTGCTCTAACACTTGAAAAAGTAATGTGAATTAAATTTAATATATTGACAAAAATTATTCTGAAAAAGTTTTATTACAGGTAATTTTCTAATAAGGCAGTCACTGTTTAAAAATATGATTAGGATTCTTTATATAGTAGGATACACAACATTATAGTTTTTAGTTAAAAATATTTCAAATGTACTGTTATCCCTGAAAGTCTCCCACATTGTTGAAGTGTGAAAGCTGCAGTTTCACAAAGAGGGGAGTTCTTTGGTTTAGATCAGGGAGGCCACACATATGGCCCATGGGCTGCATCTGGTCCTCTGACATGGGCCATTTGGCTTGCAGACTTTTGCCCTGGCTCTGACGGTGGTGGTGAAGTTTTCTGTGTTGCAGCCAGTGTTCCAGGGGGAGCAGCACTGCAGGCAGAAGCCTTGCCACTGTTGCCAGGGCTGGAGCAAAAGACCTGGCTCAGCAGGCTCTGGCTGCAGTGGTGGGGTTTGCCCAGGGTGTCATTGGGGCTGCTCTCACCAGACATGGGCTGCCACCATTGGAAACCATGGTGTTGCTTGAGTTGCTAGTGCTCAGCCCTTGCTGCGGTGCTGGCTGCCTTTGGGATCCTCCCCTGCCACTGCAGCCAGAGCCCCAGCAGAGGGGTTTTTGCCTGCAGTGCTGGTGGAGCTGCCAGTGCTTCTGCAAAAGGTGGCAGTCTGGCTGCCATGGTGGGAAGCCCTACTACTGTGGCCAGACTTGGAGCTCTGGCCTTGGTGGCATAGCTTCTGACCATACTGCTGCTTCGGGTGCCTGTGTCCAGGACTCACCAGAATGCTGTCCATTATTGCTGGAAACGTGGCCACTGCTGCCAGAGCGGGGAGGGGGGCTGCTGGGGTTGTTGGCATGAGAGCTGGGGTGCAGCCTGCAAGCACCTGAAAAGGAAGGAATGCAGTCCTCCACTTAATTTTGAGTTTGACATACATGGTTTATACAAAGTCCTAAATGCAAGCATATCCAGCAGCTCTCCTAGTTATACAGTTGGTCCAATAAAAATATCACAAATAGCCTTGTTTCTTGAGAAATTAACATGGTTCCAGCCAAATTATGAAAAATTTTGCTGCTTTTTTTGCAGAAGGCACAGAATAGTAAACTAAAATCCATTTTTCACTATGGTTTTTAAAAAGATAATTGATATGTTGTCAGCAATTGGTCTGCAGAAAAATCTCTGGCTTTTTTTTTTTTTTGATATTATAAAGGCAACTAATAGCTTTGTCGTATTGACCGTGCTACTGTGATACCAGTAGTACAAATGACAGCACTTACTCCAAAAGATGTGACACAGCACAGTGTGATATGCAGATATTGCAACTTTGGTTTATAGCTACCTCAAGGACCATAAGCCACCTAAACTGCATTAGTGAAGTGTTCCTACAGTTATTTAGCCCCACAGAGAAACAAGGTATATTAGCAGGGTTAGAGCATTGTACAGATATGCCAGACTCTTAAGTAAGGCAACCTAGCCTTGGGCCCACCCCACCAGGCTTGATAGTTTCCAGTATCCAAGTTAGCACGTTGAATGCTAGATCAAATATCTCTGCACATGGAGCTGATGTTTTTAGAGAACTATTTACAATGACTCAAGTCTCTTTCTGAGTTGTAACATCTAGTTCAGAGTCCAGCATTGTTTAAGTATAATAAAGGTTATTTCTCCATCCCCCCACCATGTGAATTACTTTGCATTTATCAACATTTAAATTAATCTGCCATATTTTTGCCCAGTCACCTAGCTTTCTGAGATCTTTCTACATGCTTACTATAACGCACTGAAAAGGGGAAAAAATGGGCTAGTTGGAAGTTGTCATGGTTCAAATTCAAGAGGGTTGCATTAATTAGCTTATTGCACAAGTATGAATGCAGACATTCTGCATATAAACTTGTGTGGGGGTTAAATCCTGGCTTTATTTATTAAAAGCATGCTTACATATACTAAAACTGTGAAAAAAACTTGATCCATTCACCTAGATTTAGCATTTCTTGACTTTGGGGGTGGGGTAGGACTTAAAAGTCAAAATGAGATGAATGTTTACAGTGTGAAAATAATCCTTGTCTTTGAAAACCATCTGCCCCGACTTTTCAGACCTGAGTATAAGTTGAATTGAATGTCTTGGATTTAGGTAAATATGGTGTGACTTCAAATTTAAGAGGATACCCCCTAAAAATCAGATTCTGTACATAGAAAATTATAAATTTGTTATAGTAGAATCTTACTTATTGGAGGGTCATCTTAAATTTGTCTCCACACTTCTGTAGTGGGAAAAGCAGCAGCAAGGGTCTGGCACTTGTGTCCCCTCCACCGGCATCTTGCCCCCTGTATCCCTACCCTTCCTGCCACTTTCCACTCCTCAACTATTGCCTGCCCCACTCCACCAACAGCCATTTGCCTCCTTTGCTGCCTTGTACCTTTCCGAGTGGAGCCCAACTGCCTCTTCTGGCTCAAGGTACTACCTTTTTACTTGTTGCTCTATTGTAAGATGAGGCTTTGTTTTCCCCACGTTGAATGGGAAAGAAAACCTCATGCTGAAATCAAGTAAATATGATAATTGTATTCAGTATATTAGTTCTAATAGGTAGTAGAGCTCGAGAAGGGATGTATGAAATCTATCCTTTTTGCCTGTTTCCTTTCTTTCCCTCTATCTAGGACCATTGAATGTAATTCAGAGTGATTGACAACTGAAGGCTTTCAATTTTCTTTTATAGCATGCTTTTAAAAAAAATTCTTCTATTGTAATAGGAACAGTTTCATGTGCTGGATGAAAGAAAACGTAGCCTGTTGAACCACTGCAAGGAACTGATGAGAAAAGCCAGACAGGTGTGCAACCTGAGCCCAGATGAGCCAGTTCCACAAGAATTTCAGACTGTAAGTATTAGGCATCTGCATATTTTTAAAAACAGTGCAATGAAGTGATTGCTGATTAACATAATATTCAGAACTGCACTTATGACACCGCTAAACCTGAAGTGAAATAATTTGTTTGTCTAAGCAAGTGGTTGTTTTCCCACTTTTTTCCTTGCTTCATGTCCAGTTTAGTAGAGTGGAGGTTTGCAAGATACAGCAGAAGCTGTGTTATCCGGCACTTTATCAACTGGAAAGCTCCACTAATCAGCATCTGAGGTTCGCAATAAGAGCGCAACTGGAAGTCCCAATTCCAGTTTCACCACCGCGAGCCGAGTTCTTCACTTCTGCGGCCCACGGCCCGGGGCAAAGCAGCCTGTGCAGGGCCCCTGTCCATGTCCCCTGGCACACTGATGCTGGGGTGTGCACCAGACAGTGCGCATTTGATTAACCAGCATATTTGATTAACCAGCACCCCCCATTCCCAGGGGATGCCGGATAACCAAGCTTTTGATGTAGCACAAGCACTTCCTTTTCTCCTTCAGAGGCTCATGCATGACACCTTATGCTTCCTGTATTATGGGCTTGATCCATAGAAAGTGTTTGAAATCATTTGTAGACATCCCAGTGACTTCAGTAAGGTCTGCACCAGATCCTTGCTCCTTACACTGATCTTCTAACTTAGAGGTGGCTAACACATGGCACGTGTGCTACAAGTGGCACATAGCAGACTGGGGCTGGAGCAGGGAACACAGTGACAGAGAGGGTAAGGAGCCTGGATAGAGTTCAGAGGAGGGCCACCCATTTGGTGAGAGGGCAGCAGGACAGGCCCTATGAGGAGAGACTGAGGAACCTGAACCTGTTCAGCCTTGGGAAGAGGAGGCTGAGGGCGGACCTGGTGGCTGCCTACAAACTCATCAGGGGGGATCATCAGCAAATAGGAAGAGCCCTATTCTCCCCAGCATTACCTGGGGTGATGAGGAACAACGGTAATAAGCTGATGGAGAATAGGTTTAGGTTAGAGATCAGGAGGCAATATTTTACAGTTAGGGGGGGCCAGAATCTGGAACCAAATTCCTAGGGAAGTGGTCCTCACCCCTACCTTGGGTAAATTCAAGAAGAGGTTAGATGATCACGTGCCTGGGGTCTTGTGAACCCAGCATTCATTCCTGCCTGTGGCAGGGGGTCAGGCTAGATGATCTGTTCAGGTCCCTCCTGACCCTAGCTACTATGAAACTATGAAAAGAGAAGAGCAGAGCAACAGGTTTGGCAGGGAGCAGAAAGCAAAGCAGCAGACTGGGCAGGGGAAAGGGATTGGGAAGGTTGTGGGGCTTACCTTGCGGTGCACCTTATGTTGAGAAGGTTGTCCCCTTCCCTCCCACCCTGCTGTAGTTAATTTCTTGCCTTTTGCTTTAGTAAGGGAAAGATACGCACTCTTTCAAGCATTGTTATATATAAAAACTCACAGACCACCGTTCTTACATCTACAAGACCAGCAATCATCCTAAGAACACAGAAAAGTCATAATCTCCAGTAAGGCCCTTGATACAACCACATCAGCTCTAAGGAGAATATTTTTGATGCCCATATGGCCCGCCTAAAATCTGCCTTCATATAACAAGGACTATCCAGTAGAGAGAGACTGTATCTGAAAGCCACCCAACTACCCCAAAGTAATCTGCTACAATACAAAAAGAACTGCCTCCGCTTCTACCACACCCCAGATGGTCACTTACTGTCTCACACTGGAACCAGTTAGAAAGTCATCAACAGGGATCCTAGTTTTCTCTGTTATAAAAATTCCAGAATTCTTTGATTAAAAATATCCAAAATCTGCATTTTTCTGTGATTAAAATGAAACACTGTGTGTGTGTGTATGTATGTGTGTGTGTGTGTATATATGTATATATGTACATACGTATGGGGGTGTGTGTGTGTGTGTGTTTCACACACACAGACACAGATTTCACACAGACATTAAGGCTGGAAGGGACCTTGGAAGATCATCGAGTCTAGCCCCCTGCTCCAGGGGCAGGAAGTCAGCTGGGGTCACAGGAACCCAGCAAGATAAACATCCAGTTCTTTCTTGAAGGCTTTCAGAGTAGGTGCTTGAGCCACCTCTGATGGCACACTATTCCAGACCTTGGGGGCTTGGAGAGTAAAGAAATTCTTCCTTATGTCCAGCCTGAAACGGTCTTGCAGGAGTTTATAACCGTTCAACCTTGTCATCCCTTGGGGCGCTCTGGTGAAAAATCGTTCCCCCAGATCCTGGTGAGCACCCCTGATAAACTTATAGGTGGCCATCAGATCTCCTGTGACCCTGCGTTTTTCCAGGCTGAAGAGTCCCATAGCTCTCAGCTTATCTTCGTAAGGTCTGTTTTCCTGACCTGATCGTGCGCATGGCTCTTCTTTGGACTCTCTCGAGCTTCTCCACATCCTTTTTGAATTATGGAGCCCAAAACTAGATGCAGTACTCCAGCTGTGGCCTCACCAAGGCTGAGTACAATGGGAGAATGATGTCCCAGGATTTGCTTGAGAAACACTGAAGGCTCATGTTCATCTTGTGGTCAATCATGACCCCCAAGTCCCTTTCATCCATAGTGCTAGCCAGCATAGCACTGTCTAGCTTATAAGGATGCTGCAGGTTTTTCTTCCCAAAGTGGAGAACCTTGCATTTTTCAGTGTTAAACACCATCAGGTTCTCATCCACCCATTTCCTGAGTCTGTCAAGGTCAGCCTGGATTGCCCTCCTGTCCTCAGGTGTGGATACTTTACCCCAAAGTTTGGTATCATCGGCGAACTTCGCCAGTCTGCTTCTGACTCCAATGTCCACATCATTAATGAAGATGTTGAACAATATAGGTCCAAGGACAGAGCCTTGAGGGACCCCACTGGTCACAGGGCACCACGACGATTGACTTCCATCAACCACCACCCTCTGGGTCTAACCACGGAGCCAATTCCCCAGCCAGCAGATTGTGGTAGACCCGAGGCCGCAGTTGGCCAGTTTTCCCAAGAGGTGATCATGGGATACCAGATCAAAGGTGTCATAACCCAATGATTTTTAGTGCCTTGGCACATTGGAATTTTCCCGCCACATGGAGCTTTCTTTGCACGGTGGATTTCTCAGCTGCAGAGAGAAATCCCCGGTGCAAAAGAGTTCCTGCCACACACATGCAAATTAGTGTCCCACTATTGGTCATTTCTAAATTATTCCTACGTGGCGGCTAGCAATTGGCTTGCTAGCCGTACAAAAGGTTAGAGCAGTTTCCGCCCAAGTTGGAGGACTCCACAACCATCTCGTGGAGAACTCTGAGCGCGCTGTGGAGCCTAGCAAACTCCACGTGTCTTGGAGGAGAACATAGAGGCCTGATCAGCTCTTAGCCACTCCCCGTCATAGTGGAAATTTGACGTATCCCCCATGTTCAGCGCTCGTGGAGTCGTATATCGACGACTCATCTCGGTTCGGTGCGGTTCGGAATAGATCTCACTTGTGTTTGTTTGTGTGCAACTGCAACTCAAGCAAGTTTCCTCCCTGCACTTTGACCATCGGCAGTGTAAGTAAAGCTTTCTTTATAAAACCAATACGCTTCCGTGCCTAACTCTACTCTGTCGTGGAAAAACCCCACCTGACGGTCCGGGCTACTGGCCATAGCCTTAGACTGACCCTCGGTCCCGACAAAAGGCTTTTTTGAAGTCAAGATATACAACATCAATCTCCTCTCCCTTGTCCAGGTGATAGGTCACCTAGTCATAAAGGGAAATGAGATTGGTCAAGCAAGATCTACCTGCAACAAACCTGTGCTAGCTATCCCTCAGGACGTTGCCATCAGCCAGTCTGTTGAGGATGACCTCTTTGATGATTTTTTCTAAGACCTTCCCCGGGATAGAGGTCGGCTGTTGGGCCTGTAGTTTGCCGGATCCACTTTCCTCACTTTCTTGAAGATAGGCACCACATGGGCCTTCTTCCAATCTTCAGGCACTTCACCAGAGCACAAGGAACTCTTGAAGATCCGTGCCAGGGGCTGAGCTATGATGCTAGCCAGCTCCTTGAGTACCCTGGAGTGTAAACTGTCAGGGTCAGCTGACTTGAAGGTGTCCAGCCTCTCAAGGTGTTCCTTCATGAGGTCAGCATTGATGGACGACAAGGGATCTCCCTCACCCAGACCTCGCTGTCCCGTAATGGGCAGGGGCAGCCCATGGGACTGATGAAAAACCGACGCAAAGTACCCATTTAGTACGTTGGCTTTTTCCTGGGCATCGGTTGTCAGTTGTCCCATCTGGTTTAGCCGTCTGGCTCTCCACGTAGCTAAAAAAGGACTTTTTATTACCCTTGATACTTGTAGCTAATTGGAGTTCAGTCACAGCCTTGGCTTTCCTGGTTCGTACCCTGCAGGTCCGGACCATTGCAGAATATTTCTCCTTGGAGGTGGATCCCATCCTCCATTCTTTGTAGGTCTTTCTTTTTAGCCACAAGAGGTCCGCTAGTTCCCTGGAGAGCCAAGGGGGCTGCTGTGCCCTTTTGCTGCCTTTTCTCCGAGACAGAATGGCATTAGCTTGTGCATCAAGGATCACTCCCTTGAGGAGCAAGCACACTTCCTGAACTCCTCTCCCCTTCCCTTTAGGTCATAGTCCCTTAGGGCCTCACCGACAAGCCTCCTGAGCTGTCAGTCAGCTTTCCTGAAGTTGAGGACTTCTGTATTGCTGGCTGTCTTGCCAGCTTAACAGCAGATGGTGAAAGTGTTCAGCTTGTGATCGCTGGCACCCAGCTTCGCATTGATTGTTAGGTCACTGATTAGGTTGTCCCCAGTTGCCAGTACCAGGTTGAGCAGCGCTTTACCTCTCGTTGGCTTTGTAAGGCTTGCTCAGCAGGCCAGCAGTGGCAGTAGTCGTCCCCCCACCCTCCGGTCCCCCAGCAGGCTTAGTTTAAAGCCTGGTGGAGCAGGTCAGCCAGTCTGGCTGAGAAGAGCCTCCTCCCCAGCAGAGAGAGGTGGAGGTTGTCCCTTCCCAGCAGCTCGCTGCCTCTCTCACCGAAGAGCAGACTGTGATCATGGAAGCCAAAGCCTTTGGTTAACTACCTGGATCCTCCTCTCCCTCCTCATCCCATAGCCCAAGACTGGGAGGATTGAAGAAAACACCACCTGTGCCCCCAGACCCTTTAGCTCCGCTCCCAAATCCCTGTAGCACCTCATGACCCAGCTGGGAGTGCTCCAAGTCATGTCATTGGTGCCCACATGGATAAGGAGCATGGGATAGTGGTCAGTGGGCTGGATGAGTTTAGATCTTCTCCTCAATGTCTCGCATGTGGGCTCCTGGGAAGCAGCAGACTTCCTGGGCTAAGGGGTCAGAGCGGCAGATTGCCCCCTCAGGATGGAGTCTCCCACGACAAGCACTTTGCGTTTTGTCTTGGGGAGAGCGGGGGCAGTAGCTACAGTAGTGCCTGTGTTGCCTGTGGGAGCTGGCAACTCAGCAGGCTCTTCTGGGGCTGCAAGAGATTCATACCTGTTGCGGCTCCAGTGGGGCAGGGGCCTTGGTGTGGCGGGCCTTGGGGCTCTTGACCACCTTGGTCCAACCCCTGGGCTGGACAGTAAGGAAGGTCCCTGAGTCCTTCCTTGTCCTGGAGGGAGACTGTGGTCTACCCTCCATCACCCAGGGGAGAAGGGCCTGGCAGTAGGAGTCTATCTCCTGCTCACAGTCCCTGATGGCGCGCAGTCTCTGGACTGTGGCCTGGAGCTGCTTCAGCTGGCACGCCAGAGACCCCAGTAGGGAGCAGACCTCACAAGGGGAGGTGGCCATGCTCCTGGGCCCCAGAGCCTGAAAAAGCGACAGGCAGCCCCCGCAGACAAGAGCCAGGGTCTCCGTCTGCGTGGAGCCCGGAACCAGGGGCTCTGTCTGGGTGGAGGTTTCTGAGGAGCCAGAGGGGGACCGCAGGCCCTTCGGGGACCCTCGTGGTGTGGCGCGTGCCAATCCATGTCATTGGGCCCTCCTGTGCAAACTCAGCACTAACACACGCTGGGCAGACAAGCGCACCTGTTTGCGCAGCCTGTTCGCTCGCACGGCTCCGTTCATGTGGCTCCCCAGGGGGCTGGATGAAGTAGGGGCTGGGGTGGGGCGAGGCCCCCCCCTCCCCCCCTTGGCTCCGCCTTAGCCACCTCCCTGTGGCTAGGCTGGGGCTAGTCCCTCCCACCAGGGGCCCCGCTTACCTCCAGTGGCTGGTGAATGCTGCAGTGCTGGGGTGCATGGAGTGTCCCATAGAAGCACGGGGGGCTCCACAGCGCATTCGGCAGCAAAACCGGAAGTGGACCAGAAGTACTTCCGGGTCTGCTGGGGAGTGCGTTGGGGGGCCCCCTTGCACCCCCCTGGCTTAGCGACTGGAGCCTCCTGGGTTTGCGGGGGGCATCTGGGTTCCCCCTGTGGCTGATGGCCAAGCCAGGAGGGTGTGGGGGGAGGGCCCCCTGCACGCTCCCTGGCAGACCCGGAATTAGACCAAAAGTACTTTCAGTCCGCTTCTGGGTTTGCCGTCAAGCATGTGGAGGACCCGCCCACACTCCTGTGGGATGCTCCATCTGCCCCAGCTTCACAGCATTCACAAGCTGCTCTGGTACCTCAAGGTATGTAGAAAAAGCTTTTAAAGCTGTGTCTGTGTCTGAATCGCTGATACTCTGAATCCGCATCGAATCTTCATATTCGGATTCGACCAAATCAAATCGGGAACAGCGATCCGAATCAATGAATCAAATCACTGCCCCTGATTCAATCTGAATTGAATAGGGCCCGCTTTGCACACCCTTAGTATGTATGTATGTATCAGTTTAACACAATGTTTTATTGATATATTTACGAATTTAAAGCAATTTGGAAGACTATCAGTGCCTCGATCATGATAATAAAATAAATTCTAAATACCTATATATTTTGGCATTTGATTTTGGTTCTCTTATAGGAAATCAGAGTTCCCCTTGCCCTTCTTTGCTCACCAGGACCCGGGTTCACCAGGACCCGGGTTCAGCTCAAAGCTGATGCTTTGAGGTGCTCTAATTAAAGTGCTGCCCTCCCTACCCCCAGAGCATGTGTAAAAGTGCCCAAAGCTTTGTAAGCTGTTTGGACACTAAAAACTGAGGCCTGAACAAAGACATCAACTTCATGGCTCATAATCTACTGGATTCCTAGTAATTGTGTCTTTGCTCCCCAAATGTTAATGACCCTCTCCCTTGTCTATCCTTTCTTCTGCAATTTTTTTTGTCTGTTAGGTATTCCCGAGAAAGTCTCATTTTTCCTACTTTGCGACTCTTCAGACTGTTTTTAGTCGTATCTGTGCCTGCTTTTCTCAGGCCTGAAGAAATATATACTGTATCCCAGTCATACATTTGGTCCAGTAAAAGTTATTACCCACAAAAGTTCTAGGTTAACTTCAGTGTCATTACCTCTGTTCTAAGTGGCTGTTATACTGTCCTAAAAGCAGTTTTCCTTTCTCTCCCATCCTCTGCCTGTCTTCATCGTCTGTCATGTTTATGTTTCTCCAGTAAAAAACTTGGTCCTGAATGTTCCTAACTGGCACAAGAATTACCTTTTACTCAAAAACGGGATTTCCATGATGACCAAGCTCTTTAATTGTTCTCTCTTCAGAGACTGCATCTGTAAAGCACTGTGTACATTTATGGCGCTATATAAATTCTCTCTCTCTCTCTCTCTCTCAAAGAAATTAGGCAGTGCTATAACTAATTATTTTTTGCTTTCTTGTGAAAACTGCAATAACCTTGGTTTAACTAGTCAGAATTCACAATTTTCCATTTTAAATTTTGGAGCCACACTCTCTTTCAAGCTCCATCATCTTTGTGCTAGTTAAACAAAATGAGGGCTAGAATTTGGATTTCTTTAGCCAGCTAGAAATTCCTCCCCAGAGGGTGAAGCTCTTGCTCTTGTCATAGGGGTAATCTAGGCAGTTTTTAACCTGAATTGGGTTTATGGTTGCACTATAAAAGGCCAAGGAGTACAAAGTGATAACCAGGTCTCCAAAAGCCTCATTCACCATCTCTTCTGTGTTAAGTGCATCTTGGGAGCAAATGTATTAGCTTAAATAGATTTTGTCCTAATGATATAGCAATGTCCATAGTTTCGTGACTTCTTGGTATTTTCTAGTCAAATCCCATGCCTTTCTCTCAATACTAAATTACCTAGCGTATGCAATATTTTCTTCTTGTAGGCATTCCGGGATCTTCCAGACACGTTGGATGAAATAGATGCTTCACTGAATGAAGAGAAATCGAGAGCCTCCTGCATCACAGGCCTGAATGCTTCTGTACGTTTTCCTCAGTATAGTACTTGCCTCCCACTCTGTCCTAGAGCTATTGGTAATAATAAGATAGACAGCAGGAACAATGTGCTGTAAATGCCAGATCCTGCATCTATTAGAATTTTAAGTAGGTTCTTCCAAAGGAACAGCATGTTCTGTGCCTTTTTGTGCGTATGTGTGTGGTTTTTTTTTTTAAGGCACTGTAACCTGAAAGACAGCAATTCCTTACAGTTTCTTTGCTTCAAAGCTGTGTATCTTGTTCAGTGTATAAACAGTGCAATAAGGTATTTAATTGTGGGTGAACAAATGCAGCGCAGTGTGATATTTTACCATTACAATTGAATTAATAAATGTCAGTTTAAAAGACTGTATTTTAAACAATTTTTTTTTTCTCTGTCAGGTTGTAGAAGAGTACAGTAAGAGGACAGAAGAAATACAACTGTTGACAGAGGAGCTAGAGAAAAAGAAAAAAGAATTGAACAACTACAGGCAAAACATTTCGCAGGTAATCTTTGACATGAGCACTTCTGTTTCAAATGTGTCCTTGCCTTATAGTTAATGAATAACAGAGAAATCTAAGTGGATGTATTCTTACTTTAAGATGTACCACATTCATTAAGACATTTCAAGTTATGTTAGTGTAAAATGAGATATTGGCAATCTTTAATGTAAAACCACCTGTTAAGAACTGATTATTGAAATTGCTGTTGAGAGTTACTATACTATTACAATGATCTTCACATTATTTTTTTAAGGTCAAAGAAAGGTGGCTTAATCCTTTGAAACATCTGGTCGAAAAAATTAATGAGAAGTTCAGTACCTTTTTTAATTCTATGCAGTGTGCTGGTGAAGTCGATCTTCATACAGAAAATGAGGTATGAATCAGTATGTATATCAATAATGAATGTTTGCATTTTAGTATGTGTTCTTATACTTATATATTGCAAAGGACCTAAAATAGATGGTTTGGGGTTGGTGGGAATATGGGACACCTACAGGATTTAATGAACTTTAAGACCTCTTGACCCTTTTAATTGAAATTCCAATGTTTTAAATATTGAAACCAACTGGTTAGTGTTACTGAAGGAAAGCAGGTCCATCACCAGATGTGTAGATTTTAGTCAGTCTCACTAGAGATTTCCAAAATCCAACTGGAACTGAATAACCGTAACATTAATATTAAAGTTATGCTCCAAGACATTTGGCTATCCCATCTTCTTCCTTCTACAGGTATCTTCTCTGTTTGTGATATGTGCTGGTTCACATTTTCTAGATATAGCCACACCTTTTCTGCCAAAGCAGAAACCTTTAGAAAGAACAGTGACTGTTGGAACCCCACATACGCTTCATCACAGAGTCAGGCTTTCAAAGTTGGGGGATGTAAAGAGCCATAGGTCTGCTTCTCTGTGGACATTTGCACTGAATGGAAACAATAATCCTGCCTTTCTTTTCATACTTTGCTATTCTCTCCAGTTAGTCAGTGTCCCATATATTAGCTTAGTATTTAAACAAATACCATATTCAGGTAGTGGTTGCTTCTGTAGTTCAGGGTAATACCAGTGCTTACTTGCCAACTGGTGACTGAAGCCACCTTTCACAATGGCACCAGCTAGCCATGGTCTTGGTGCTTAACCTGTCTGCATCTTGACAGACTGTGATGCTTACAAGAAATGTCCTTTATACTTCGTCTCTGACAGAGGAAAAAATAAGTATTTGAAGTGCCTTGGGGAGGAGCTTTGAGTGGAAAGGAATGAAGTGAAAACTAATATACTTTCATTTGAAATTGATTCTCTTTAATGAGGATTTTGAGAGACATTTATGAAACAGACCTTTTACATGAAGCATGCTCTGTTGTAATGGCAAGCTATTATTCACTACAGTCCACATTTTTTACTGCTGCTTTGGAGAAAAAACTACTATGAACTATTCAAATTTTGTCTTAAGTGTTTAAAATAAATTAAACGCTGATAGCTCTTGAGATCCTTGAGGCAAAATATGAAGTATCTTCTAGATTATGACTTGTTAGAGAATTTGTTTCCTAGTTGGGGAAAAAACAGCACTTTTACATGAATAGCTCATTTAATTGTTTTGTTGTAGAGAACTTTAATATTGTGTGAAGGTCAAGCATGCTATAACAATGCTTTCTACTTGTTTATACTTTGGTCTGACTCTAATAATATTTGTTTAACAACAGTTTTTTTATCTGCAAAAGAACTGGTTGAAGAACAGAAATGCACAATTGGAGAAGGAGTTAGCATTTATTTCTGTTTACAGGCATCTGTTTTCTGGTATCAGTCTAAAAAAAGATCTTTACAAAAGAGGAAAACAAAAGCCCTAACTTTTTTGCTTTTAAGTGAATGCAAGTAAATTAGGATATCCGTAGCATCTTTTCCAAAAGCGATGATGGCTGTTGACAGAGAAGTAAAGAATAGTGGCTCTTGAACAAAAGTGAACATGGACACACAGCTTATGAAATAGAAATATTTTTAAAAAGAGTTCGAATAAGCTGTTAGAAAATCCATCTTTTCCCACTTAGCCTTTAGGTGAACAGTAGTTGTCAGCACAAATTTAGTGATTGCAATATATCCATGCCTTATTTGAAAACTACTGATTAATGACAGTTGGTATGATCATGGACATAATGAGCAAGGTTTTCTCTGCAGATAGATTGGAAACCCTAGGAAGTACTGATGGCTTCAAGTGATTGTTCATAAGCAAATCCACCACTGCTGTGCACATTCCCCCACATTCTTAAACATGGAGCCATTTTGATCAGCATTATCCATATGGTCCATGTACACATCAAGATTTTCTTGTTCCATGTGAATTTTTTTCTTTCAAAACTCCTTCTGGATCCAGAATGGCTTCTAATAGCTACAGATGGACACTCAAAATGTTTCTTTTGCTTGGGAGAATCCCATATTCTAGGAAATGCTCCATCTGTAAATTTTTAATCTTCTATGTTTGGGAGGTGAGTCTACAGGTTTACTTCCTTGGCAGTCTGCCAAGGCCTGGCATCAGACCTAGAAATCCAGGGCCCCCTCAGATGTATCTCTTGGGATTTGGTGTGAGCAATTCCTATTTACCCACAGAACATCTTTGTCCACTTTGGCCAGAGTGAACAAAAATCCTCAGTGGATGAGCTTATAGACTTATAAAGGCAGAGGGAGTTATAGGGCAGATCCGTCATGAAGACCACCCTTAGAAAGGAAGATTTCTTCTTTCCCAGCATTGCATCTCACCCCTGAGAAGTTGCTGGTGAGACTCTCATCAGCACAGCATAGCTCTCATGCTATGACTTGGCACTACACTTTGTGTTGATGAGCCAGTACCTGTGCCACTGCAGAATGCCCCTTCATTCCAGGGCTCTGGCTTCATCAGTTTCATGCTTTGCAACAGCATTCTTCAAGGAGATTCCTCGGCACTAACCAGTAAACTAACACACATGCAGGGGGCGTTGAGAATGATGCTTGTTCATGTCACTGACAAGGGTTGCATGGCCAGCACACCTGTTCATCCTGCAGAATCTCAATTTCTTCTGCTATATATTGTCTATCACTGGATGTACAGGGACCCACCCCCTTCTCCCCAGCTTCCTTTGTCTCCCCCCTCCACCTGGCTTCTTACAGTACTGGCCTCTTCATTAGTTCTTCTCTTAATACCAAGTGATCACCCCTATACCTAGTTTGCTTCCTCTCTTGTGTGCTTCTTTAGTAGAATGGAGTACTTGCTAAGAGATTTTCAGTGTTTCCTTCACTTTCCTCAGTTTCCCACAAGAAATCTAGATGATCATTTTAAGATTCATGCTGGGGGGTAACCAGTTGGGTATATAGGATCAGGTGAGGTAGCTATCTGTCTGATCAGCAGCTTTTGTTACCCAAATTGCCCCATATCCACCCACCAACCTGATCCCAGGATAGGTATATACAACTAAAACCCCCTGTGCACTTTACGGATGTTGGGCTAAGTCTTCCATCTTCTTGTTCATCCCACATACCTATACTGGATAATTTCAGGTGATCTATAACCTCTTGAAAAGTTTGTTAATGGCTCTACAGATTCCGGTGGAGGAAGTCAAGGAACTGACCCATAAACTGAACGTTTTTCCCTCTATTTCTGTGGAAGGCCCATAAATGAGGCAATTTTGGATTGGACAAGACTGATCTGGCAAACACTAGCTACAACAACTTATGCCTCATGTAAGATGGACAAGAAGCATCAGATCCCATGTTTCTACACCCATTCAGTGCCCATCATCACCCCCAGTCAAGATACTAGTTAATGAGAAGTCTTATGCAGAGCCACCATACCAGAAAGCAGAGACAAAAAAATAATTTTTATTTTGGCTCTAAAAATAATCCTCCAGAAGTTCAGAAGACATGGTATCTTCAGTTGCAAGATTGGATGCTGCTTTTATAAAAGAGATACCTTAGTTAGTCACTGCTCTTTACATCAGATTGATAATAGATGGAATCTTAATGCTTTGGAATTAGCAGTAGGGGATTGTTTGTATGGACAGCCTTTCTTAGGAGAGTGAGAGGTTACTTATACATCAAATGAGCTGAGAAATGGGGTGGAGAAAAATACAAACGTAACCAGAATAGATCAAAAGTAAGAGTTAAACCCTAGTTTAAAAGCATTATTCATTCTGTTAATATTGACTTGTCCTTACCACTTCATTTTCCTACTATAGGGCCTTTATAACATAAGCTTTCTTTTGCTTGTGATAGAGTTAAATTGGATGTTCAATAGAACTGTTTAACACAGTTTGTCTGCCTGCTTTTATAGGAAGAATATGACAAATACGGGATTCGAATCAGAGTCAAATTTCGCAGTAGTACCCAGTTGCATGAATTGACTCCTCACCATCAGAGTGGAGGTGAGAGAAGTGTTTCCACTATGTTGTATTTGATGGCTCTGCAAGAACTGAACAGATGTCCTTTCAGGGTTGTAGATGAAATAAATCAGGTAAGGTTACAGCACATGAAAGAGTTGTTATTGTACAGATAGTTCTGAAGTGACAGATGTGTAAAAATACATATATATATTTATTTTTAAAGGGAATGGACCCAGTCAATGAGAGGAGAGTTTTTGAAATGGTTGTGAAGACCGCTTGCAAAGAAAGCACTTCTCAATACTTCTTTATTACACCAAAGGTGGGTGCCTGAAAACAATAATTATCTCAAATGCATTTTATGTTTGGGTTTATCTGATTAAGAGAAGAAACAGCATTGGTAGAGGTGAGGTCAGTTTGGTTCGTTTCATTTGAGACTGCCCAAGGCTAACTAAAAACAAGTGACCAGATAGTTTATCCCCATTAACATAGTTGTCCCTGCGCTCCACCTTTTTAAGGTTACACAACCTGAGGTTTGTGGTTCCCTGAATGGATCATACCAATAGGCTGCAGCACCCCTGGGTGTCTGAATAAAGGGAAAGTCTCTAGTACAGGCAGGGAATTAGTGGAGCTCATGTTCTGTAATAGTCAGGCAAAGTGTCTCCTTCAGCTCTCTGAAGGAGGCTGTAGAAAACCCTGCGTCAAGGGAAGAAAGGCTACTCAAGCATGAAGCTGATGGCCTGCAAAAGGGTTAGAGCTATGTTCTTTGGAAAGAAGGCTGCAGAGAAAATGCTGATCAGAGGTAGAATATTTTGTTCCTGAGGGCCAAGTTTAAAACTTGTCCTGTCCTAATAAGCAGAGATCTGGGTTTTCTGTTTGCCATGGGAAAATGCAGAAAAACATGGATTTTCTTCTTTAAATTAGAAAATCACAGATTTTCTCCTTTGAAGGAGAAAAATGCAGAAATGACCAGTTTCCCCAGCAGGCTGGCAGAGTTCCAGCCTGCAAGGGGCTGGGAGGAGCAGGATGTGGAGGGAGGGGGCGCCACATGTGGCAGCCAGGAAGTGCTGGAGAGGCACTCCTTCAACTCTCTCCAAGTAAGTCTCTGGGGACAGAGGGGAGGGGCCCAGAGGCAATATGTGGCAGGGCACAAGGAGGGGGTGAGGGGCATGTCCCAGAGGTGGTCTGCCCTGGCTACAGCTCCATGCCCCACCATGGGTACAGAAATCTGGCGGGTACATGCCCCTACCCCAATTCCCTTGTGTTGCCTGTGCCCACACCCCCCCTTCCCCACACACCCACCCCATTCCCTGCATAGTAGGGGTGGGGGGCCGTGGGTCAGGAGTGAGGGGCATCAGCAGGGCCAGGGGCTGTGAGTTGGGAGTGAGGGTCACTGGCAGGTGTGGGGGTGGTTCTGGCTTGGAGGTGAGGGGCCAAGGTAAGGGATCGATATATCAGGGTTGCTCAGTGCCATAAAGCAGTAGGGGAGGGGGAACAGCCACAGCTGGACCAACGTCCTGGTGTGTGCAGGGGTAGCTCTGATTTTTCATGATAAAAACAACAAAATGAAATGTCAAAAATATATAGGTATTAAGAATTTATTTTATTATAATGATTGAGGCACAAATAGGCCTCCAAATGACTTTAAAATTATAAATAGTTCAATAAAACATTGTGTTCAACCGATACCTACATAGATCTAGATAGATAGATCTGGATAGATGGATAGATAGTGACATTTCATTTTAATCGCAAAAAAAAACACTGTTTTGGGGGTTTTAATCAGAGAATTTGGGATTTTTAAACAAAGAAAACTAGGATCCCTGCATAAATCAAACCCAGAAGAGGAGATGTGTTCAACTTATTTTGGGCGTTTAAATTAGAATGGGTCCATGGGACAGACTTCTCTGAATGCAGCTTCCACAAGTGTCAATACTTTGCAGAAAAGTAGGTAAAATTATAAGGTTGAATGTTGTTTGGTAACCAGTGGTGCTAGTAGAATAAGTGCTTTATTAAGATACAACCTCTCCATATCCCCAAAACTTAATATTTTGAGATGAGTTAGCAGGTGTGAATCAACATCTTTTAATGTATTATACTACAAGTGTTCACCAAAGACCGCAGAGGTCATTGCTTAACTTGTTTAACGTTTTTGACCTAACATAGAATGAAATTGACTTAAAATGGTGCTGGTGTTTCTTGTTATCTCTGCACTTGCAAGTTTTTTATCTCACAAGTGTGTGTTTTTATTTGTTCTCCCCATCATGTTCTCTTGTTTGCTGTGCAGTTGTAACGAATCTTTCCTCTTTTCTCTCCCTTTCTCTTGGATTTTCTGCCTCCCTGCTCTAG